GTTGCTCGGACCCTAGCTTCAATAGCCGACTGCGTCATTTCTCATCCCAGCGTATGTTGTCTGCTTCTCTGTATTTCCTTTTCAAATCGTGATAATGTTGTGGTGTGATGATTCTGTTCACAGCAGCTAGAATTGAAGTTATCCCTTCCCTCCAAAACCTAGATTTTCTGTAATAATTGAAAATTCACAGGTTCATAATGCAGCAATGCTCTACTGGCCAATGCCAAATGTCATGTACGTAGAAGGTTATGCCCTAGATTGATTTGAGTTAATACACACGCCATTACATAATATATGGTTACATTGTCATGATTTTGTTCGTGTAATCAGGTGGGATTGGTTCTTGATGCAGGAATTGAGGAACAGCTACACATTCATCATCTCCAAGTAGCTGATGCAACAAGAGCAACACTTGGTTTACCAGTTCTTGAGTATACGAATCAAGTTTCCATGGATATCTTGCTTTTAAGAACTTGCAGGCGGAAAAGTGGATCAGTCCAAAGAACGGACAGGCAATAGGGAGGATAAAACATCCTGATTCCCTATTAAGAGTTGTAGAAACATTGTGTGATCCATCTATAAATGTTGCTGTTATGGCTTGTTTTCCAGATGATGACATGGAAGATGTAGATGGTGTTCTTGCGTTTGTATCGTGGGAAGTGATGTTGACAGTGTCATTCTTGTTTCGATTATTGCATCCGTTACTGTTGAGGGCTCTGCTTCTTTCCCTGAAGAAGCCATTGTCACCCCTCCTGTTATATGATTTTGATTTATTTTGGCAATATTTTTTTTATGATTGCAGCAAAGTTGATTCGAGTTGGGTATGTGATTGGTTTTCTGATTGCAAAGTTCGATGATGTTGCTATTGCTGTTTTGTTGTTTTGTGCTATTTTGTTATTTTTTTGTTGTTTTGTGACTGTTTATGTTTTGTAGTTTGTTGTGGACTTGTTAAATTCCATTTGTTGCTGTTTTGAGATCAAGTTTTTTTAATTGTTTTAGTTTACATCTTGAATTCCTATTACTTATAAAAATTAATTTCAATGGCATGTATAAAATAAAAAAAATTAATATTCAAAAAACCGGGTACCCAGAACCGAAACCGGTCTCGGCGGTTCCAGGAGCGGTTCCAAATTTCTAGGAACCGGTGTAAGCGGTTCCGGTTCCAATACCAATAATTTCGGAACTGCCGGTTCCGGGAGCGGTTCCGGTTCCAGCTAAAATAGGCGGGTACCCGGTTATGCTCATCCCTAATTTTTGCATTCCATTTCAAATTTTGATTAAAAAAAACAGTTTATCGAGTACATGATCAGTGTTTGATCAAATTTAGATTAACCAACCATGTTACATGATTTAATGCAAAAGGTGAGTACATAAAAGTTATAAATAAAAAAAATTAGCGTGTTATCTAAATTGCAGGGACCGGTTATATAGCTATATTTCAATTCACAAAGGAGAAACATAGACTTGTTGACAAAAAAGAAACATGTGCACAGTTGAAAAAAAGAAACCGTAGTGCACAAAAAAAATGAAGGGGAATCTAACATCTCATTCATTTTCATTATATTTGTTTATATTAATTTATATTTGTTGTAACATTCTGTTCAAAACTTTATTTCATTTTCAAACATTTCTTTTGTATTTACTATATACCGTTCAAATAATAAAACCATATAACATTTGGTTTAACCTATAAGGAACAATAATTACATAAAATAATGATACAACTTTCATAGTTATTATAACTAGTGTATTGATTAGTTTTTTTTTTTTTTAAATCGGGTATTCGGGTATACCCGAATTTTTTTAAATATACCCAATACATGACCTATGTAAATATCGGGTTACCCGATTACCCGAATTTTCAAACCCGATACCCGATTTACCCGAGTTCAAAACGGGTCGGGTCGGATAATCGGGTATCGGGTATTTTCAACAGGTCTAGTTTAAATTAGATAAAAGAAGAAGGAAAAATACAATTTCAGCCAAGTAATGACTAGTTAGTTTGTTTATTTGGATAAATTTTGGGTCGTTAAAAACAGATTTGTTTGTGTTTGTTTATTTGTAGTTTTGTTATTATGAATTAGTTTATGTATGGCTTTTAGGTGGTCCTAAAGTTGCGACATTTTGGAAACCACATAGATCATTTATGAACATTAAGAAAATTTTATAAATGATCTATGTGGTTTCCTAAAGAGGGTAGTTTTATCTATCTCTTTTAATCTATTAATGCTTTATATCTTTATTATGTATAATTAACACTCTTTATTTAGTAGTGTTTCATTTTAGTCCCTATTTATATTTAACCTTCTAAATTTTATTTTATTTTGGCTAATTAAGTTGTTTTATTCTAATCTCCAATATTAAAAATAAACTTTTGTAATTATTATATGATATTTTTATCGTTTTATTTTTATTTTTATAACTATGTACATATAAAATTAATAAATAGTATTTGTGCTTTAATATAACAAATTTGATAAACAGGACTTCATAAAAAGTTTGAAAATGTAAGGATAAAATAGTTCTTTTAAAACAAACTTTTAATCTACATTATACTTCATGCGCACATTTGTCATTTCCTTTGTCTGATGCATCATTAGCCGTTGAAATGTTTTTTTGGTTGAAACATACCGTTATACATATCTAACCGATTTTTTCTAGAAACTATTATTTTCCTCAATATTATCCATATTTTCATATGTATGAGTGTATGCATACTAATATTTCACAAATTTTAGGACTCTTTAGATCTCGAGCATTCAAGATACTCCAATAACATTGTTTTTAATTTTGTTCCTAAAATCTCCAATAACATTGTTTTTAATTTTGTTCACAAAACTAAAAGTACCCTTACGGATTACACCATTCATATATTAGAAATATCGACAAGGAAATGAACTTACACTAAACTTACACGATCCTCGAGATATCCAGAATTTTATCGATCATCAAACCAATATTTTGTGTTTGTATACCTTGTTTCTAACGATTATATTGACATTTCAACGTTGATAATTATGGTTAAATATTTCAATGACATGACTTCAATATTTGGTTAATTGGAAAAGTTTGAAGTGGATGATTTTAGATCTTGGCTGAAGAATATGCATTCTTCATTAACAACTTAAAAGGTTGTGTATGTGATGAGTGCCCCTCACCAAAAACAATGGAATATGAGATAATCATACGAAATTACCAATATACTTAATGTTTTCTAAGCAAGCTATTTTTAAAAATCTTGAGGAAACACATCATCATAGGTCTACATTACACATTGCAACATATAAAATCAGTAGAATATAATAGTTGTCCATTTCCAAATTCATAATAACAAAAACAAAGATCCGCCCACAAAACAAAAACAGAACCTTACATGATTTGATGGAAAAAGTTGAGAATTAAAAAAAAAAAAAAAGTAATAACAATAATAATATAACAATTAAAATATGAAAAAGGGGTGTGAGAATGAGAGAGACAACTAACTCAGAAGTAACAAGAAAGGTTTAGCCACCCCCAGATTTAAGCGTGTTGCTCAACCTACCATTAAAATTGAAATGTGTTTTGTTGAGAATAGAAAATAATAAATAAATAGATAAATAAATAAAAATAAAGAGTATTTATTTTACCAGTCTAAGCCCTCAAAGAGACCTTCTCCTTTGATGGCAGAGGTTTTAAAAATAGACCATTGACGGTTTTTTATTTTGTGCAACTCTAGGGACTCTGTCACAGCAGCATCATCGAGTGCACCAGGAAGATCCTATAAAAAAAATTTTGAAAAAAATATTTAGGAAATTAAAAATTATGGATAAATATTTAAAGATTTGTTTTGTTCTCAACTCAACCTGTTTGTTAGCAAATATGAGAACAACAGCACCTTTCAACTCTTCCTCCTATGTGAAGAAAAATATCGGATACGTTAAATTAATAATTAATGGATACAATTTATAAAATAAATAAAGTGAAATAGAATACCTCTAAAATGGCATGAAATTCCTCTTTAGCAATTACTAGTCTTTCTGTGTCACTGGAATCAACCACATATATTATGGCCTGAGTATTTGGAAAATAGCATCTCCAGTATGGCCTAAATAAAAATAAAGATCCACAAAAACATCAGCTCATGAAATTGTGAAAAATGGTAATAAATATAAAAAGATTTTCAATTTTCAACACCGCTGAACAAAATTCAATTATGAATGTAATAAAATTAATTCGGAGGGGGACTCTTAATATTTATTTATCAAAGGAAAATTAATATTACCTGATGCTGGTTTGCCCACCTGTATCATAACCAAAAAAAAACATTAGTATTAGCAGGGAAAATATTAAACACAAAAACAAATAATCATGCACAAGAGGGAATATTGATCAAGTAAAAAGAATCAGATGTTTAATGATCTCAGAATCAGATGTTGTATTGTTGCATTGCGTCTCCATATGAAAAGCTCAACTAAGAAAACGAAAAGAAAGATAGAAAGACAAATCAGGAACAATTAGCAAACATACCGAGATCCCAGACTTGAAACTTTATATTGTTGTATTGAACTGTCTCCACATTAAATCCAATTGCTGCACAGAAGGTGTACATCAGTGTTCACATCCGATAAAACAATGTAATCCATCACGTTATGTAGCTTCAATAATGCAATAATGTAACCTATCCTGAAACTAGGAATTTGCGTTACAGAGCTAATAAGAAAGCTGGGATAAAGAAAGAGAACCAACTTGGAATAGTGGAGACAACTTCACCCATCTGAAGCCGATCTAAACACCAAAATAAATCATCAATTAGCAATCTAGATAAAATCGAACTTGTAAAAAGGATTAGGGATAATGAAAGAGATGGGATCATACAAAGGATAGTGGTTTTGCCAGCATTGTCAAGACCGAGAACGAGGATCCGAGCTTCTTTGTTTCCGAAAAGCGAAGAGAACAATCTCGTAAACACTAACCCCATCTATTATACCATGTACCGATATTCCCCAAACCAAAAATCCAGATCAGATCGCTTCGTCTTCAAAGGCAGAATCCCAAATCTTCCGTCCAAAAAACCAAAATATAATTGCAATTTATGTGAGACGAATAGAATTGGTTCCAGCGCATGCAAGTAAAACAAGATTTAGGCGTTTAATTTGCACAAAACAAAACAAGCTTATAAGAAAAAGATCTTGGGAATTTTGAAAGGCAAAAAGCGTACCTCTGAAGCGGAGAATCTGCCTATAAGAAAATTCCGATGGGTTCGAGAGGAATGATTGCGAAAAACGTGAGATTCTGGGAGTAGGATTTGAAGATAGAAGGAGATGAGAAGGTGTTCGTCTCGATCTCTTCGGACGAAAAATTCACCAATTTTTCTAATTTGATTCTTCAGGATCTGTAATCGGGAGATGTGGAGTGAAGAACACGGGAGAAGTTACAAAAATTTCCCTACACTATCTTGAAAGTTTCATTTTCAGTCCTCTTTATTTCAGTTTTACACTTTTAGTCCATAAGAATTGATCTCCTTCGTTTGATCCCTCTCATCACGTTTCGTCACTTCATTGGGGAACAAAGGATGTATATAATATACTATTAGTTTATAGATTTATAGATTATAGAACAATAGGTCATATTCATATCCAGTTTTAAAATTTATATTTGTCTTTCTTAAAGGATTTATAAATATGACATCCAGATTTGACAAATTTGAAGAGATCATTTTTATGTAAGTTGTAATAGTTCTATTAAAAAAAAAATAGTTCTAGGATATATGGGCATTGTTTCCATATTTTGACTAATGTGAACAATCTTATACTAATATATAGTGTTGTTCCGATATTTTTTATATTATTTAAGATTACACGAGCTAATGTCATGGAATCTATTGCAATATTTTGTTATGATTGGTTATAGGACTTTTTTTTCAAATAATAATAATAATAATAATAATAATAATAATAATAATAATAATAATAATAATAATCTGTTACTCATCATTTATGACATTTAACCATTCTTTTATTTAGTGACAGCTATTCGTAAATCGTAGGGTATTAAACAGTGTATCAAGGGAACATTGATAAAGTGAATAAGTGATAAACCATTAAAACTTTAATTTACTTAAATTTTCACATGAACAGATCACACTACAGCGTACAGACGCATTGCATATAGAAACCCTAGATTTCTTTTGCCTTATTGACGTCTAACCTAAAAAGTAAAAACCAACGAATTTCTACTTGTTGGAAATTCTAAAACCTACATTGCAGATTGGAAAATCATCTCCGCAAGTTCCTGCACAAAAAGACAAACCCAATTATTAAAAACAGTCGACAAATCATATGTGATAATTTTAAACTATTAAATGGTTTGTTTGATTGGAAGGAAAGGAATGGAATGAACCATTCCATTCCTTTTTCTGATTCCCTCATACCAAACACATTACCTGTTTGCCAGAAGGAACTGTAGGTTCTCCCCATTCCATAACCTTCTTTTCTAACAACTCAAAATCAGCTTTTCCAGCCTGAAAAAAAAAACAATTAACATCAATCTTCCAAAAAAAAAATCTAAAATGAAATAAATTATGTCCCACATGACAAAAATTGGGTAATTACCTCGATTTGGGCACCAAGTTCTGAATCAAAGCTTTGATATCTCTTGCGAACAAGCTCTGTTAAAGATCCATCCTTCAAACACAAAAAAAAAAAAAAAAAAAAAAAAACATAATCTTGTGTTAAATAACATAAATAATGATAAAAGATGAAACAAAAAAAAGAAAAAATAAATAAACCTCAAGTAGCTTTGCAGCATTACGAAGACCACGTGCAAGAGTATCCATACCAGCAATATGAGCAATAAATAAGTCTTCAACATCTGTACTTTCCCTTCGTCTGTATGTATACACATATTTTTTTTTACTTAATCAGGATTAAAGTAAATGACCATTTTACCCTTTTGTTTAATGTATTAAGATAAAAAGGGAACTCACAATTTGGCATCAAAATTGAATCCCCCAGGTGAAAGTCCATCCTGTAATTTAAAAAAAAATGAAGTCAATAATCACCAGTGACAATAATTAATAATTACTGTGTCCCATTAAAAAAATAAAACCCTTTTTTTGTTCCAAAAGGTTCTTGTGTTTCATATGTTTTATCAAAGGGTATTTTAGGTATTTCACATGTTCCGCTTACATTCTTGATGACACTCAGCATAACCAAAGTGGCTTCATTGACATCCATCAAAAACTGATCAGTATCCCAACCAACTTGAGGGTCACCAGTGTTGGCATCAATGTTTCCTAATAAACCATTGATTCTTGCAGTTTCAAGCTCATGGTGACAGCTGTAAAAACAATTTTTATTTTATTTAAAAGAAAAAAACAGTTTATAAATAATCAAAACTGAAGTCAGAATATTAACACACACCTGTGACCAGATAGAGTAGCATGGTTGCATTCAATATTCAATTTGAATTCTCCTGCAGTGAGATATATTTTAGGGCTATTCTTGATAATGAAGGGCATTTTCGTCTTTTTGCTTAGACAAGAGACCGAAAGAATAGTCCTTTCATAATACAATGCTTTTAGTTACAATCTTTTTAAACTCTTGCAAGTCATCAAAATCAATTTTAAGTTTTTAAGTTTTAACATTTTCTTTCATATAAAAGTATGATTCTAGATTAAAAAAAATAATAATAATAGAAAAGATTACCTATAAGTCCATACTTCCTTAAGAAATTAGCAGCAGTGGCGGCATCCCAATCATACCTACCAATATTAATATAACAATTAAAAAATAAATAAATAAACTTGTTAATTTCTTATAAAAAATATATATATAGATAATATCATACTGGTGCTTTGTGGGTTCTTGAGGCTTGGGCTCAATAAGAAGTGTTCCTGAAGCAAAAATTAACATACATATAAACAGTTATAAATAATTTTTATTCTTTTATGTTTTTTAATACCAAATCTCTTGTATTTATATAATAATTACCAGTGAATCCAATCTTCTTTTTATAGGCTACTGCAGCTTCAAAAAACCGTGCCTACAAAAAATATAATTTCCCACATTATATCTATTTTTTCAACAGGATTTACTATTAAAAAAATAATTTTTTATGAAAAATTTTACCATATGATCAAGCTCTCTCTCCATATCAGTGTTGAGAAGAGTCTGATAACCCTCACGACCACCCCAAAACACATAATTTTCACCCCCTAGATAATGTGTAACCTGTGTAAATAGTAAAAGTTCATATCAAGGGCAAAACTGTCTTTTTTTTTTAGTTCAATAAACTAAGTGGTAAGTAGTAAGTAGTAAGTAGCAACCTCTATTGCTTTCTTGACTTGAGCTGCAGCATATGCATAGACTCCAATTTCAGGGCTGTGGTTATGTATTATTATTAAGTATTAAATTTAGATATTATTATTATTAATTAAATATATTTAAAAAAATATGAAGCTTGAAAAAGGTGTAATATGAACCTGGTGGCACCACCATGCATGTAGCGGGGATGCATGAACAACTGAGCTGTACCCCATAAAGGACGAATTTTTGTCCCCTGAGAGAATATCAGAAACATTTTTTTTTATGGATTAATGTTTTGATAAAAGAAATTTGCATTTTTTACTTAACCATGAGAAATTACCTGAAGTTCTTTCGCAAGAGCTACAATTTCATCAAGATTTGCATTAGTTTCCTACAAAGATAATTAAAAAACTTGATCAATAATCAAAAGTCAAAACATAAGATTACAAATTACAATATGTGGATGCAATTCGACTGAATTATGTGATTAATATAATAATAATAATGATAATATAAGTACACTTACCTCCAATGTTTCACCATCTGGAGCAATGTCTCTATCATGAAAACACCACCTATCAACTCCAAGCTTCTCTAAGAACTCAAAATTCGCCCTCACTACAACAAAAAATGAAAGCAATGAGCAGAGTTGACCAAATATTGACCAAAGAAAGAAGTCTAAAAACAATTGATCTTACTTCTTCTCTTTGCCATGGCTAAAGAATTAGTACCATCTTCCCATGGCCACATTTTAGTAGCTGCACCAAAAGGGTCACCACCTGTTCCACGAAAAGTGTGCCAAAAAGCAACACTAAATCGCATCCAATCCTTCATATTCTTTCCAAGAATCTCCTCATTGGGATTATACCATTTATATGCAAGTGGATTTTTGCTTTTGGGTCCCTACAAGTAACAATCACCATAAACCATGAATGATTTGTCTCAAATTCCAGATTTCAAAATCCAAAAAGCGATTATGGTGATTACTGATTAGGTTTGCTAGCAAACCTCGTATTTAATTTTGGGAATCCCAGGAAAAAATTCCCCTTCCCATTCAGCCCAAATCGTCGAAACCACAATCACCATCAAGATCTGCAGGACAGGTATGTGGATCTTCGGAAATCTATAAGCAAGAAAATTGACGTATTTAGTACTAATTTAAAGTGGAATGAGTAAAACAGAGAAAAAGGCGTAAACCCTAACAAAAGGGTAAAATCAAACAGATTAAGTTAAATATTCAAAGCATTACCACTGTATGAAAGATCACATTGAAACAGAGAAAAAACAGCAACAACTTCCCAGCTTTCGTGTTTGTCATTTCATTCAGATTCAGATAACCTAAATTGAAATAGAAAAAAGATCAAAGATTAATAACAAAACAAAATAATAATCAAAACATAACGGATGATGAATGCAACAGTGTGGCTCAACCCCCAATTTCAAATCAAGTGAAGAGAAAACGTACGATCAGAAGAAGTATTAAAATTGTTTTTTTTTTTCAAAATCTGATGATATACCAAAATCGGGACAAAATCTCAAAAACAAGAATTCAAAATTAAGCTGTACAACACTTTATTGACGAAGAAAAACGTCTGCATGATTGAATCTTAAAAACCTAAAAGCTGAGTGACAGTCAAAGCTGTAACAACGAGTATCACGAAAAATACGCGCCACTTACAGATTATAGAGGAGAGATTAGTGTGAAAGATTTGCAAAGTGAATGAGGTGGAATTGTGTTTGATAGATTTTAGAAGGCAATTTGGATAAGTAATATAGATTTGGAGCAGATGAAAGTTGTTGATATTCCAAATACGTGCATTGATATTTGATAGAAAGAGAGAGAGATAAGAATGCAAACTCACAGGTGATGTGTGACTCTTTATAAACTGCAACAAATAATATTATTAAATCATAGATATACTCGAACATATAAATTATTTATTTATATACTTAAATAATCCAAGCTATTCAAAGAAACCTCGTCATCTTTTGATTATTATCCTTTTATATATTATATTATATATGTTAAATGTAAAATAATGATAAATGATATGCTTTAATTAATATGCTGATTTTATAGAAGCTATATTCGTTAAAATGATCGTGTTTGGATACCCAAGTATTAATGCATAACTATTTTTTTTAGAAATAGCACAAAAATAACAATATTTTTTTTGTTTAAAAAAAGCGTAACTTTGCAACATTGCTTTTTTAGTGGTCACACGACCATTATTATATTGTGTTTTTCTAATTTATTTTGCAAAAGTGTTGATTTTCAAAAAAATTGTGGAAAATAGTATGTTCCGATAGTTTGTATAAGAAAATATTTCTTACTTTTACAAACAAAGTTATTTTACTCAAAGTGGATAAGATGTTTGGCAAATAAGGTATTAAACTTTCTTTTGACAAAACTGCACAAATAGTGTTTGTGGTTTGTCGAAAACATGTCACTTTGGTCTAAAAAAGTTTGGACTACCACCAGAGGTCCAACTTTTTCATTTTTTTTTGTAAGTTTGGTCCAATTTGCTATGAACTTTTTCATAATGACGATTTTGCTCTTACTTTTTTCTTTTTCATTTTTTTATTATTTAAAGATTTTTCAGAAGAAAAAAGAAAAAAGAAAATTTGTCTTTTCTATTTAATTTGTATAATTTTTATAACATAAAAAAATAGAAAATGAAAATGCAAAATCTCTCTCTCTCTCTCTCTCTCTCTCTCTCTCTCTCCCAAAAATTTACCCATCTAGCTTATCTTCTTCCTCCCACTCTTGCTCTTGATACCATTCAATACTACTAATCGCCCGCTATTGCCACCTGCTTGACGTAAAACTCTACCTAATAACCTTCATTCTCGTTTTCGCCAACATGTTGCCTCCTCGTCCACTGTTTTGAACCACCATTGACGGAACCCTAGCCGTCGTGCATCCAGTCTGAATAGAGAGGAGGGAGGAGAGCTGAGAGGAGATGAAATCGATTTTTGAAATCACTTCGAATGATGCACCAGATCTACAATGTTACTACAGGCTTCGTCTTCAATGCATCTGGGTTTAAACGGTTCGACTTTGATGATATTATTCCCCAGCCTAAACCTAAGTGTGTGTGTGTCCATTCCCAGATCTAACTATGTCATCGTCAACTTACAAAAGATTTGAAGTCGACGATCATCAAACCACCTCCATTAATTTTGTATGTGTCTCCTTCTTTCCTTCTTCAAACTCGATTGCAAGTCTGACCCTTATTCTTTTTCTTTTTTTTGTTCGATCACAGGCGTCACTTCTCCATTCAATCACAATCCCTCATTCTTCATCCTTCATCTTTCTTAATATGTTTTTTGAGCTGCAATTTGATCAGAAGATAAATGGAAGAACAAGGCAGACAGGGATGATGGGTTCTCGATGGTGGTGATTTTTTATGGTGGCTCGATTTTTCTAGGCAAAATTGGTGATTGTTAGTGGTTTGGCAATGTTTATAGTGGTGACCAAAGGATCTGTTTTGCTAGAGAAGGGAGGGGAGTAATGGGCGTTCTTCATGTTCTTAAAGGTGGATCTGTGTTTGTGTGTTTAGTTGTGAAACGAGAGAGAGAGAGAGAGAGAGGGAGAGAGAGAGAGAGAGTGTGTGTGTGTGTGTGTGTGTGTTTTGCATTTTTTATTTTTTTATTTCTATTATAAAAATAAAATAAAATCAAAATTTATTTTAAATTTTTTCCTTTAATAAAAAAATAATTAAATAATAAAAAACTGCAAAAAAAAAAAAATAAGGGCAAAAATGGTCATTAAGAAAAAGTTCATAGCAAATTGGACCAAACTCGCAAAAAATGAAAAGTTTGGACCTCTGGTGCTTGTCCATACCTTTTTGGACCAAAGTGGCAATTTTCAGTTAACCACATGGACCATTTGTGCAGTTTTGTCCTTTCTTTTTAGTAGGACCCGACGGTTAGGTTATTTTCGGGTTTGTTGGGGAAATAGAAGTGTGATGGTGGAGAACCAGATTCTTAATTAATTGTGTAAGGTCACTTTTCGGACTGATATTTCTACTTTATGTCTGTGTTACAGGAAATCCAGTCTAGAATAATCCAAACGTATACTTATGAATCTAGGCAGAGAAACACAAGTCAAATGTTAGACGAATTCGAAGTTTGTTATAGAAGAGAGAGAGAGAGAGAGAGAGAGAGAGAGAGAGAGAGTGTGTGTGTGTGTGTGTGTGTGTATTTATGGCTCAATACTGGAGCCGCTTTTTATACTTGACAGATGGGTTTCCGTCTTTCTAAATTAGTTAAGAGAATCATAGATTTAATGGCTCAGTTAATGGTTTCTAAAACTGATGATATTAGTCAATCTTACCGTAATCACCCATTAGAATTCAGATTTTCCATATTGAAACTAATTCAATTTTTCTAAAACCTTTTGGGGTGCTGCCCCAAACCTCGCGGGGGTGCCACATGCTCTACCATTTGGACCCCGCTAGAAGCGCTGCCCTTAGGACCTTGCAAGGGGGCGCAACCCCATGACCCCGTTATTCTTTCGTATCGACTTATAATTCGGTTTTATATATGCATGCACTCCACATTCACCGAACATATAATATAAAGTACAAATAATAAGCATCTTATCTCACATATTAGTTTCAATTACACAAAATGTCTGGTGAAACCAAAATCACCAACAAGGTTGTAACACCCATAAAATTCAAGCCAATTTAAAACTTTTTAGAACATTTAAAACCATTAAGTTATTACAGTTTGTTTTCAAAATAGTTTCATCATCAGAGTATCCCCAGAATCAAATCATAAAATCATGAACTATGAGGAGTTGTACGATCACGCATTTGCCTTGCCACGATCCCCTAATGCACCTGAAACAATAAACTGAAACTGTAAGCCCGAAAGCTTAGTGAGTTCCCCCAAAATACCCATACCCACAACAATACACATATAACCATAAACAACATATTATGGGTCCAATCAACCATCGGGTTGGAATACCCCAGGCCCTCAACCTTCCAGTTGGAATGCCAACATACTATGGTTCCAATCATCCTCGGGATGGAATACCCCAGGCCCACAACCAACAGGTTGGAATGCCCACATACTATGAGTCCAATCATCCTCGGGATGGAATACTCACGGCCCACAACCAACAGGTTGGAATGCCCATGTCTATTGGCTTTCCCACAAAGCAGATAAGCCTCAACCGCCAAACAAACATGTGCACAAATAGCAGATAATCACATAACATTCTATAGACAACAACTGATCTAACGGATCATACCACATACCACATAATATTACCCTACCCTCTAGGATACCGATCTATCAGATCATACCACATACAACATAATATTATCCTACCCTCTAGGATACCGATCTAACAGATCATACTAGCATAACATAACCATATAACAATCCAAAGGGCCGGCCTTGGTGCCTTAGACCCTTGAGTATAGTGAGGAAAACTCACCTTGCAATGCCGGACTGAACCATGAGATCACACTCCCGAAATACTGCCCTAAGCTCCAACACCTATAACCATCAATGATCCAATTCATAAATACCCGCTTACCAATTATTCTCAAAAGTCAAAACGTTCAACCCTTGGTCAAAGTCAAAGTCAACTATCAAGGTCAACAGTTCATGTTGACCTCAACTCGTCGAGTACCCTCAGCTACTCGTCGAGTTCCTTGCATAACTTGCCAACTCGCCGAGTCACCATGCCACTCGCCGAGCCCAAGGCAATCTTCATCGGACTCGCCGAGTTGTTCATCCAACTCGTCGAGTTCAAGACCATCTTCATATGACTCGCCGAGTCTACCATGCGACTCGCCGAGTCCTTTTCAGTCCTTCATCCATACATATGCTTTTTAAGCCATGCCAAGGCTCCATACTGCAGATCCAAGTTCCCAAGGCATGCTTATCACGTAAAGTTGCAAACTTTACGTGCATGCAAGGCTCTAATGACTCAAAATGCCAAAACCAAGCTTGAAATGGGGTTTTACACTTAAGGAGGGGTTCATACTTACCAAAGCTGATAGCTTTATGGACTTACAATTCAAAGAGAGTTCAGATCTGAAGTTACAACTTCAGATCTGAGCTCATACCCAAGAATAGCTTCATAACCAAGCCAAGAAACCCTAAACTTCATCCAAAGAGATCTAGAATGAAATGGGGGGTTAAGATAACAGCTTAATACACTACAAATAAAATGACATTTAGTGGCACATAAAAAATGCCACTAAAAACCAAAATAGTGCCACTAAAGGACCCCTAGAAAATCAGCGGCACAATAAAAAAGTGCCACTAAAAGCGCTGCCACTAAAGGCCTTTAGTGGCACTTTTTAATTGTGTCGTTGCAGGCTTCTTGAGTTTTAGTGGCACTTTTCCACTATGCCACTAAATCACTTATAGGTTTTAGTGGCACTATTTGTATGCCACTATTTGACACTTTTTAACACAAAATTATATTTGATTGTTTAAAATTTTAAATGAAATATAAAATAACAATAAGACAATCCTCCTTAATAAATGAAGGTTTTTTTTGCCACATGTCAATCTCTCATGAGTTTTGACACTTGTCATTTTGTGGTATTTTTGAAATAAATATTATCCACATGTCAATTTTTGGTTGTTTCAATTTTTAAAATTAAATTCATCGGACTCGCCGAGTTGTTCATCCAACTCGTCGAGTTCAAGACCATCTTCATATGACTCGCCGAGTCTACCATGCGACTCGCCGAGTCCTTTTCAGTCCTTCATCCATACATATGCTTTTTAAGCCATGCCAAGGCTCCATACTGAAGATCCAAGTTCCCAAGGCATGCTTATCACGTAAAGTTGCAAACTTTACGTGCATGCAAGGCTCTAATGACTCAAAATGCCAAAACCAAGCTTGAAATGGGGTTTTACACTTAAGGAGGGGTTCATACTTACCAAAGCTGATAGCTTTATGGACTTACAATTCAAAGAGAGTTCAGATCTGAAGTTACAACTTCAGATCTGAGCTCATACCCAAGAATAGCTTCATAACCAAGCCAAGAAGCCCTAAACTTCATCCAAAGAGATCTAGAATGAAATGGGGGGTTAAGATAACAGCTTAATACACTACAAATAAAATGACATTTAGTGGCACAGAACAAATGCCACTAAAAACCAAAATAGTGCCACTAAAGGACCCCTAGAAAATCAGCGGCACAATAAAAAAGTGCCACTAAAGGCCTTTAGTGGCACTTTTTGATTGTGTCGCTGCAGGCTTCTTGAGTTTTAGTGGCACTTTTCCACTATGCCACTAAATCACTTATAGGTTTTAGTGGCACTATTTGTATGCCACTATTTGACACTTTTTAACACAAAATTATATTAATAAATTATATTTGATTGTTTAAAATTTTAAATGAAATATAAAATAACAATAAGACAATCCTCCTTAATAAATGAAGGTTTTTTTTGCCACATGTCAATCTCTCATGAGTTTTGACACTTGTCATTTTGTGGTATTTTTGAAATAAATATTATCCACATGTCAATTTTTGGTTGTTTCAATTTTTAAAATTAAATTCATCGGACTCGCCGAGTTGTTCATCCAACTCGTCGAGTTCAAGACCATCTTCATATGACTCGCCGAGTCTACCATGCGACTCGCCGAGTCCTTTTCAGTCCTTCATCCATACATATGCTTTTTAAGCCATGCCAAGGCTCCATACTGCAGATCCAAGTTCCCAAGGCATGCTTATCACGTAAAGTTGCAAACTTTACGTGCATGCAAGGCTCTAATGACTCAAAATGCCAAAACCAAGCTTGAAATGGGGTTTTACACTTAAGGAGGGGTTCATACTTACCAAAGCTGATAGCTTTATGGACTTACAATTCAAAGAGAGTTCAGATCTGAAGTTACAACTTCAGATCTGAGCTCATACCCAAGAATAGCTTCATAACCAAGCCAAGAAGCCCTAAACTTCATCCAAAGAGATCTAGAATGAAATGGGGGGTTAAGATAACAGCTTAATACACTACAAATAAAATGACATTTAGTGGCATAGAAAAAATGCCACTAAAACCAAAATAGTGCCACTAAAGGACCCCTAGAAAATCAGCGGCACAATAAAAAAGTGCCACTAAAAGCGCTGCCACTAAAGGCCTTTAGTGGCACTTTTTGATTGTGTTGCTGCAGGCTTCTTGAGTTTTAGTGGCACTTTTCCACTATGCCACTAAATCACTTATAGGTTTTAGTGGCACTATTTGTATGCCACTATTTGACACTTTTTAACACAAAATTATATTTGATTGTTTAAAATTTTAAATGAAATATAAAATAACAATAAGACAATCCTCCTTAATAAATGAAGGTTTTTTTTGCCACATGTCAATCTCTCATGAGTTTTGACACTTGTCATTTTGTGGTATTTTTGAAATAAATATTATCCACATGTCAATTTTTGGTTGTTTCAATTTTTAAAATTAAATTCATCGGACTCGCCGAGTTGTTCATCCAACTCGTCGAGTTCAAGACCATCTTCATATGACTCGCCGAGTCTACCATGCGACTCGCCGAGTCCTTTTCAGTCCTTCATCCATACATATGCTTTTTAAGCCATGCCAAGGCTCCATACTGCAGATCCAAGTTCCCAAGGCATGCTTATCACGTAAAGTTGCAAACTTTACGTGCATGCAAGGCTCTAATGACTCAAAATGCCAAAACCAAGCTTGAAATGGGGTTTTACACTTAAGGAGGGTTCATACTTACCAAAGCTGATAGCTTTATGGACTTACAATTCAAAGAGAGTTCAGATCTGAAGTTACAACTTCAGATCTGAGCTCATACCCAAGAATAGCTTCATAACCAAGCCAAGAAGCCCTAAACTTCATCCAAAGAGATCTAGAATGAAATGGGGGGTTAAGATAACAGCTTAATACACTACAAATAAAATGACATTTAGTGGCATAGAAAAAATGCCACTAAAACCAAAATAGTGCCACTAAAGGACCCCTAGAAAATCAGCGGCACAATAAAAAAGTGCCACTAAAAGCGCTGCCACTAAAGGCCTTTAGTGGCACTTTTTGATTGTGTTGCTGCAGGCTTCTTGAGTTTTAGTGGCACTTTTCCACTATGCCACTAAATCACTTATAAGTTTTAGTGGCACTATTTGTATGCCACTATTTGACACTTTTTAACACAAAATTATATTAATAAATTATATTTGATTGTTTAAAATTTTAAATGAAATATAAAATAACAATAAGACAATCCTCCTTAATAAATGAAGGTTTTTTTTGCCACATGTCAATCTGTCATGAGTTTTGACACTTGTCATTTTGTGGTATTTTTGAAATAAATATTATCCACATGTCAATTTTTGGTTGTTTCAATTTTTAAAATTAAATTCATATACTTATATATGTAAAGTATTAAATATCATATATATATGATATTAAATTGCAATAAATACATTTCTTCCTTTCTTATTTTAAAGTTGTACATTAAAAAATATTTTCTGTGTACACTTTAATTTAATGTTTAATCTTTTTTTAAATCAACTCGTGTAATACACGAGTCTCACACCTAGTTAAGATGATAAATGGAAAAACTACATTATCACTTTAATTCAAACTTGTCCAACAACAATATTCTCAATAATAAAAACACAAATGGCTTAAAAAAAATTAATAAGTCTAAACTATGCTAGAACTCAAACATAATATTATTGAACTGCATCTTGTTGGTAAAGAAACACGAAACTTGATTGCTCTCGAACTAAATATTAGCATGCAACTTCAAGAGCTTCCCAATGGGTGTCAATGCTTACTTTACAAGGATTTTAAAGTGTTTTCACATTTTCCTGTTTTTTCATCTAAAAGCTTCAGTAATGCTTCATCTCAATAGACTTCCTTTTCTTGCTCCCTTTCTTGTTCCCTTCCTTAGAAACCTTGAATCGGAAAGGAAAACAAAAATGTTAACCAAGATATATAACCATTTAAGCCTACAAATAATAAAGACACCAACACTTTAACAAAGTCAATTGCTTTAATGGTTAAACAATTTAATACAGTTGATATTTGTCTTAGTTTTAACATTTTCATGAAAAAATAAGTCTTTTTTATGCTTACCGAAATCAAACAAGTTAAAATAAAAAATAAGAAATGGAGAATTATACTTATTAAAATCTTTCCATCAGCCAAAGAAACTTCCAACAGAAGATACAGTACTAGTATCTGCTGCTATCAGTTTACCTGGAAAATCAGAGTGCAAGAGAATATGGAAAGTTTGAACAAGTTTTCAGATTATGCCTCTTGTATAAAGTTCATTTGATTTGATTGGTATTATAAATTATTAGCTACCTGTGTTGTGTTGACTACACCCATATGTTTATGGCGCTGTTTTATGACAGTCGGCATAAAAACGTGTTTCATATAGATTCCAGATATAAAGCATATTTAATTATGTGTTATACTTCAAAAATTTACCATCGCCAATTCTTAACACTCCACCTTCATGCCAAACTCTTGGAATTGAGAATGACAACTTAAAAAACTAAAAACAAGAATAGGTTACTGTTATGATCCCACATCGGCCGAAAGTACTATAAGTTGGTGGCTTATAAGTCTAGGTGTCCCCTCCTCCTACAAGCTAGCTTTTGGGAGTGAGTTCTACACTTGGGCTTATGGCATGATGCGGGCCTAGTATGGGATGGGTCCGTATCAATTGGTATCAGAGCCGTCCCCATCTTTCGAGGTGCCAACACTTGGAGTGGTGGCCTACGGAGTGGTGGCTTGGACCCGAAAAGAGGGGTGCCAACCGTGACCAACATAGCCGTGACCAACAATGACTCGGAGTGGTGGCTTGGACCAAAAGGGGGTGCCAACCGTGACCAACGAGGACGTTGGCTCTTCAAAGCGTGGGGTATTGTTATGATCCCACATCGGCCGAAAGTACTATAAGTTGGTGGCTTATAAGTCTAGGTGTCCCTTCCTCCTACAAGCTGGCTTTTGGGAGTGAGTTCTACACATGGGCTTATGGCATGATGCGGGCCTACTATGGGATGGGTCCGTATCAGTTACAAATACAACACATACAACGACTTAATTTGAGCACAAAATAGATGAAAGGTTGAACCAACAATGTACTTACGACAAAATACCTCTCATTGTTTATAATTATAAAATATAAACAAGATTTACAATCATTTCCAACATAGCAAGAACCCCAAGGAATTCAAAAATTACAGGGCATTAATTGTTTAATCTGATTATGACTTAATTGGATTAAATTAAATCAGAGGAATTGCAACAAAATTCCCTATAGAGACTAAAAGCAAACATTTGATGGAAATCAAGTTCCAAGGTGTAAAAGGGTTTGGAGTTTATAAGAATAAGACCTTGCTAAAATATTACATCACATAACGTTAGTTTGACATAAATCGAAGTGATTTATGAAAGTGTAAAAATGAAAAGAGTGATAAACAGATATGAGAAACATACCTGTGAGTTTTGTACAAAAATAAAGGACATAACAGTAAGAACAACAACGATCTCCTATATGAGATCTTAATCATCTTTCTATCTCTCTTATCCTTTATCTCTTCTCCCCTCCTTCCTTCCTTTCTCTCTGTTTCTATCTCTAGCTTTTCTGAAAAAAAAGAAAAAAAAAGTGTTGTCCGATTGCTATGAAACTTTTAATTTCAAAAAGGGAATGGATTAATCAATGAACAGAAATTGTATACCTTTGTGTGATTTGTTTTCCCCCAACTTAGATAAGCAATTTATACATTCACATATGTCGTGAAGCGTGTGCCTGTACGATGTAGGGTTACGTCGCCGTCACCGGGAAGCCTATGTCGGTTCAATGTTGTGGCTGCTTCACCGTCGTGAATCATTTGTCGGTTTACTGTGGGGCTGTATCGCCACTCTTCAATGGTGGTCGAAGGCCTGATGGTGTCATTGCCGATGAGGGGTCGCATCGACTGATTATTAGGGCCACATGTATATAAGGAGTGGTTAAGGGCTAAAGTGTAACAATTTGGGAAAATGTATCTAGGGATGTGAAAGGTTAAAAGTGTCATACTTTTAATTTTCGGAGGAGTTATTGGGGGGAAACTAGAACCGCCAAAATGAAAAATTAGAATTTTTGAAGGATATAGTGGCACAAAAATATTATATGCCACTAAAAACATAATTTAGTGGCATAAAAAACAATATGCCACTAAAAACTTGTGCCACTAAATGTAATTTTATTTGTAGTGATACCTTCCCAAAAGATGCCAACTGAAGTAGATCTTGATTCCCACGAGTTCCTTGCTTCAATCCACTTGTTTCCCCCAAGCTCTTCTCACCAAGAATCCTCTTCCAAAGCTTAAAACACACAATGGGGCACACACACACACGAATTAGGGTTTCTGGACTCTCAAGAGGCTGCAAAGGGACTAAGGGAGGCTAATGATCCCTTAAATAGGGTGCCAAACCCCGGAAATTAGGGGTTCACCCTCCAGCTCCAACTCGTCGAGTCACTCTTCCGACTCGGCGAGTTGGTCACTTAAACACGTGGCCCAAACCCGCTGCTACTCGACGAGTCAGGCAACCAACTCGTCGAGTACATCTTGAATTCATGAGAATTTATAACCGTAAATTGGTATTCGAGAATCGGAGCGTTACAAAGGTTGACATGCTTAATTAAACACGATGAAAATTTCAACCAAACTCAAACATGTTTAAGTAATAGGTTGAGAAATCTCAACCTAGCCCAACTTGATTATTAAATTGGTTGAAATGAGAGTGACATCTTTATTCTTTTTCCAACCCAAACTATTTAATAAACAAATTGACATCTTTATTTTTTTTCCAACCCAAACTATTTAGTAAACAAATTGACCCATTTAAATCTATAAAAGAAAACCCAACAAAATCCAATAATTCTTTTAACTTTTTTCACATAAAACTTAAAAACTCCGATATTTATTCAAGTTTTTGTGAAGGTCGGCCGTTTGATGAAAGAGAAGGAGAAGAAGATCGGTAGTAGAGTTTAGCGATTAAGGTTATGTGAAACAATGAGAGTAACATAATGGTCGACTAAGAAAGTAAAGTTGTATGTCATTAAGAAGGTTACTACTTATATTAGGTATATTTTTATTTTCTTCCCAAAGTTTAAATTATTAAAATTTTAATTACATAGCAATACTAATTAAATATAAATTAAAAATACTTAAAACTCTTAAAGGGGATGATCGGTTAGATTCATGTTGAGAATTTAAAATATAATTCAACATATTTAGTTAAACAGGTTAATCTAACCAATTTGATTAAACAGGATAAAAATATGAGTAAATTACAAGAATAGTCCCTATGGTTTAGGGTAATTTACGCGTTTAGTCCCTAACTTATTTTTTTAATTCGGAAGGTCCCTACTGTTTGTTTTTGTTACGTGATTGGTCCCTGACTTACCTAAAAATACTATTTTGCCCTTGATTTTTTTGATTTATTTAAATAAACACACACCCAATCTTACCCCCTTCACCTTACCTTACCTACCCAACATTTTTCTCTATTTAAATAATAGTCATTAGGTAAGATAGGGACCAAACGTGTAACAAAAACAAATAATAGGGACCAAACACGTAACGAAAACAAACAGTAGGGATTTTCCGAGTTAAAAAAAATGAATTAGGGACCAAGCGCGCAAATTACCCCAAACCATAGGGACCATTCGTGTAATTTACTCTAAAAAATCAACCCGACCTGTTAATTAATGGGTTGGTTTTTCAGATTCGGATCAAGATTGTCTACTTGTTAGCTTCTATGTTTTCAAAAAAAAAAAATTATGCAAATTTTCTTTTGTCGTCTTAAAGTAAAGAAATCTAAAAGTTCGAACTCACGTTCTCTAAACATGAAAACCATAGACATTAACCAATTGCGTTGAATTTATTTTTGCTTATATTTAAAAAATGCTTATTAAAACTCAATTTTTGTGGTTTTTTTTAGTCTGTGAAACAACGTTATATTTTTATTAATTAAAATAACTTTGAAAATTTATCATGATAATAAAAATTAATAAAATCGCTTGGTGTCATAAAAGTAATTTTGTAAATACATTTTCATGTATTTAGTGGTCATTTTATGTTTCTACTTGAAAACGTGGTCTTCTTATTATATGATTTTTATATAATTACTCTTTGTTTTAATGTAATTAATATTAATATATGGTTGTTATAATCAAGAAAATATTGTTTGTTTTGGATTAAGGAAAGAAAAAGTATATTAGTATTGATATGATATTCCCATAAAAATGAGTGTTTCTCATTCAACTCATTATCCATGTTTTTTTCGTTAGCGGTGGTTTTTTTTTTTTTTTTTTTTTTTTTTTTTTTTTTTGAATAAAAGAGATTGCTAGTGTTAAACAATGACTTCAACATCATTTCCTGTTTAAATGGAATTCTGGGTTTTTTATTTTTATGTTATTTTTACACTTTTTAGATACTATTAGAACTATTATTTCCAAACATTTTTATACAACTTTAATTAAAGACTAGTTTTGCCAAACATATACTAATTCAAAACCAGTTAAAAAATTCTACCAATATAACCACATTGTACTACTTGACCTCATATCAAAATTAGACACACACAAAAAATAACTATTCCTGAATCAAACGATCTAGAATTAAAAAAATGTTTGCATAAATCGTAGTCCAGCACCTAATAATCCTCTCACCGATAATGCTAGACATTTTGGTTGCTCGAATATTAAAGATTCATTGAGGGCTATTGATTGAAATCAAAAGCAAAAAGGGACCATGGACGAACAAAGACCCAACAAGATGATAATGTTGGGCCAAAAGTGTTGACCCTTACTGATGTAGTGATGTATATAGCATGATCTATGGATCCATCAAGTCGTTAAACCAATAAATCTTCACCTAAAATTAGGAGGGTAAAAGCAATGTTTTAAAAATCGGTTTTTTAGTTGAACCGGTATGGTGACCGGTTCCCGGTTCAACCGGTTTAACCGGTTCGACCGTCGGGTTAACCGGTTTCTATAATTTTCATATTTTTTCCGATTTTTCAATACATACCTATATATATAAATCATGAATTTGACGTTTACAAGTTGAAACATTAAAATATATATATAAAAACAAGTTGTAGATCAATCCAAATACATTAAAATAGCACACAATCATAAGTTTTAGTGTTTTACATCAACCCATACACGTTAAAAAAAAATAAAGTATAATATCAAAACAAAATATAGTTTTAGATGAATACAAACACATAAAAAAACTTTATAACATTTACCATATGTTTTTATTTAGAAAAAACTAAATAGATTTGAAAAAAATCAACAAAGTTTATTATGCAAATGATTATTTTCCATGTATTTTTATTTGGTTTAACCAGTTCAACTGGTTTATTTAGATCGGTTCAACCGGGTCTTTCTAAAAACTGGCCGGTTCAATCCGGTTCAGAAATCAACATAAAACCGGTGATGGTTGAACCGCTCCCTCCTACGGTTTCCGGTCCAACCGGTTCGACCGGCCGGTTCAAACCAGTTTTTAAAACATTGGGTAAAAGCATCAAGTTATGTTTGGTTTATGTAGATAATAATAGAATAGTCATCATCCTCTGTACCTCCTTCTTCCCCAAGAGGATGTGGGATGCTCCTTTTACTTGATAGACTTTTTTTTTCACTTGTGAGCTTCTATTCTTTCTAAAAAGCAAAACTTTTTTAAGAGCTTACTCATAATATACGAAATATGTTTTAAATTTTGTCTTTTCTTTCCTATAATTGGTTCTTGTTAGATAAAATTCGAGTGGTTTCTATGTCTAACTAAGTATGCTTAATTTTCTGAAATAGTTCATATACGAAATAAATACAACAATTTTAGTATTTTGTTTACATTTTTAATTTAGAATTGTTTATAATAGAAACATTACTTGCTTGACGTGGATCTTTTAGCAAGTATAGTACATAACTTAGTGAATCCGACCCGAAAAAGTAAAACTAGACCGAAAAACATAAATTAAAACCGAAAAAAATGAACGCAATAAAGCGATACCAAACTACTCTACCGAATAATGACCATCCAAAATCGATCTAAAACCATATCAGTCTTGGAAAAGACCGTTTAGGCAAAGATAAAAAATGACCAACCCATCCAAATCGATTCTTTGCACCTTTTATAATATTATTGAAATATTAATAACAAAAAAAAATATTTCAAATTGAAAATAATTTTTTTAAATATTTATATTTTTGGCTAATAAATTTTTTTATTCATTCGAAGTTTGTTTTGTACATGAAATATACCAAATGAACGTGTCAAGATTACAAATATATAATTATTTAGCTGATTTTATGCAGAAAAGTTTCAATATTTTGAGAAATTTTTTGATAAAGTCCTAAAAATAAATTTGAACAGAAAAATCTCGATTATTTAACATTTTGCCCAAATTAACGATTTTTTTTATATTTTATTTTAACAGAAAATGACAGATTATGTGATTTTTCCAAAATAATGAGACTTTTCTGTTAAAAAAACTAGTTTATAACTCGTGGGAATCACAGTTACAAAATTAATTAAATTTTCATATTAAAAACTCAAAATTATTAATCAATTATTTTAAATAAATTATTAATTAAAAGATATTTTTTTTAGTTATATAAAACTATAATCGTTGATTTAAATAAATATGAGAAATTATATCATCTTATAATATGTATTAACTTTATTTTAATTTTTATTCTAATGTTTCAGTTTAATGTAACTAGAGTGAAAAATTTAAAATTTAAAATTTAAAATGAATAATCAATAGATTGGAAAATGACATGACATTAATTATGACACATAATAAGGTAATACATGGCAAAAAGAAAATAAATCTATTCTTTTATTAGAATAGTGAGATGAGATATTTAAGACTTTATCATAAAATTTACAAAAAATAATA